TTTTTTTTTTTTTTTTTTTTTTTTTTAACTGCTATCATGACAAAGCAAAGGTTGTTTCCTCCTGTAGACTGCAAGCAGACAAACAGCAGGGCTGGCCATCTCCATAGACTAGAATTCAAAGTGTCTGGTCCAGCGCTTGACATATGTAAAGAGACCGAAAAATTGGGGGTCCTGGGGCCAGTGTAACCCCTCACCATAGTTTCCAAGAAATGGCTAAGAGATAGGTTTCAGCCTTCTCTCCCGCTGCTCTTAGACTCTGTAGGAAATCTTGCAGTGCCTAGGTTTGCGTTTGGACCCAGTCGACAGATACATCTGAGCAGCTGTTGCTCAAACTCTGGAGGGCAAGCTGTGGGAGGAGGTCTCAGGAATTGCTGTCACTCAGTGGAAAGGCATAGGCTTCAGAGTCACTCACACTGGGTTCAGACTGTAACTGGCCAGCTCCCAGCTTTACTGACACTGGCTTTGAGCTTAATATCACCGAGCCTCCGTTCCTTCAGCCGTAGCTAGGGATAATTATATGGAGATACACAAAGGGAATTACAGCAAACGTTTGGCATGTGCTAGGCCACTAATAAATAGCAGCCTTGCTTATTAATATAATCAATTACATACTGAGTACACGTTTTTTTAAACAAATGATTATCGAGGTCCTCTTGTGGCTGGGCAGGGTGTGCAGTGGGAAAGGGGCAGACAGCAGACACAGTCCCCACCCCTCAGCCCAGCCCCCAGAGTGCTGAGGCTCATTCAGCAGACCAAATGCACTCAGCAGCCAGCAACCTTCCAAATTATGTGCAGTTGAATTGGCCAATTTTGATTGATCTTTCAGAAAACTTAAGCACACTCAAATGTACTCATGTTATCTACACCGAAACTGTTCCCAACATTTCATAATCTTTGTTTCTTTTCATACATTTAAGACTTTTTTCTTTGTTTTCTTCTTTTTTTTGGAGGGGGTGATGTGTTATCATTTCTGTTTTTTGAGATAGGATCTTGCTATATATAGTTTAGACTGACCTTGAGCTCACTCTGTAGCCCAGACTGGCCTTGAAAGGATGGCTGGTGTTCCTGTCACCTCAGCTTTTTAGATCCTAGTATTGCAGAGTGTGCCACCATAGTTGGCCCGTGTGTGTGTGTGTGTGTGTGTGTGTGTGTGTGTGTATGAGATACTGGAGCCTGCATCCACGGTCTTCTACAGTTACATCCACAGTCCTTTATTTAAAAAAAAAATTTTTTTAATGTGTTTAGTACAGGGACTACAGGGCCTCACTATACAGATGGACTCGTAGGGATCCTCCTGTTTTCAGCCTCCCAAGAGCTGGGATGACAGGCGTGCCACCATGCCCAGTCTCCATTGCTGTCTCAACGCACCCTGGGGGCAGGGCCTGTATTTTTTAATATTTTGAAGCAGGATATTGCTGAATTGCTAAGTTGCCCAAGCTGAGCTCAAACTTGCAGTCTCCGGCCTTAGCCTCACAGAACGCTGGAATTACAGGCACACCGTACTATTCCTGGCTCTCAGAATTTTTTTTCAAAGACAAAAAGACAGAGAATATTATAAAAAATATAGTACGTACATATTATCACCAAGAACTGAAAACAATTAACATTTTGCCATAATTCTATAGTCTTTTAGTTAAGGAAATAAAACATTTCACAAAAAATTTATATTTCTCCCCCTATAATCCTATTCTTTACCTTGTCCAGAATTTCACAAGGGTCTTCAATCACTTCTCCATCACGTGTATCTTTAAACAATACATAACATTGGCTTGCATATTTTTAATATATCAATGGGATCCTTTTATAACTATATGCTTTTGCACATTGTGTATATTTATGAGGAAAATCCTATTGATTGATGTAGCTATTAGTGGTTTATTTCCAAAAGCAAAAGAATAATTGTTATTTTATGCATATTCTCTGGATAGACATCTGTTTTATTAAGAATTCTAAGTTCTTGCAAATAATACAAAAACAATCTTGGCGTGTATTTTCATGTAATGATCGACTAAGAAGTGAAATTTACATTCTTTGCTAGTGTTTTTAAAACTATTACACACTTAAAGATTTCCATACTAGAAGTAGACAGTTATCAATCAGGTTGAAATTGAGGGCTTTTTTTTTTTTTTTTGGTACATTTCTTGATCTCTGTAAACCAGATCCCTTTTATTTTACAGAAATTGATGACCCTAAGACAATATGTGTGGGTCCTTCTGACATAGCCTGTCAAAGCCAGCAGAAACAGAGTGGTGATAGCGAGTCAATCAGTCCCTTAGCACAACCAAGAAGTGACAAGGAGGATCAGGGGCCCAGGTACGTGGGCAGGTTGCCGCCACCAGGTGAGGTGTGTGGGATAATTGCTCCCTTGGACAGGGCAGAAGGTGGAGGCCCACGGAGGGAGGCTGAGCGGTGCACTCACTGTCTGGGGGTGTTATACAGTGGAGTCTGGCTGGCCGGCGCTGCTGCTGCGGCACAACAAACCACATGTGGTTCAACTTTAGTGCTAGACCTGGGGAAACAGACATCTGTAATTCTTTTAATTTTATTTATTTATTTGTGTGTGTGGGGGGGC